AATGAGGACCTTGAGCTGCAACAGTTGAACAGCAAATGTAAGGCTGCTCTCCAATGCTTGGGATCTGTCTTGGCATCGAAGCCCAGTATACAAGGCTTGGCAGAAGTCAGTAAACTCATTCCCATCATCAGCTTCATGATTTCTAATACTGGCCTGCTCTGGACACACGTGGAGGACGCTGCTCGCACGCCGAGAGCACAAGGCTGTACACAGCCAGCTGGCAACACAGCCAGATCTGCAGCATCACACACTCCAGTTATTCCCTTTGAGTAGATGTCTTGACCTTTACAACATGTGGCCAAGAGTATAAACAGATGGGATGACAGTATGAATGGTACGGTCCCATCAATATAATCACGCAACGTCCCTGATACATCTTGGTTGCCTCATTTCACATCCCCTGACAGCAAGCATGATACCAGGAAAAAGACAGGTGGGCCGATCAAATCCTTCAGATGAAAAAATTCACCTGCTTTAGAAACATACATAAGGATGTTGTAGTGCTGCTTCCCCCCTGTGAAAGGCCATGTGGAGCGAAAGCATGTTGCTTTCGCCTAAGTTGCCATGGATTTGTGCAAGCTCATTCCTAGAAGGAAATCTGGTAGGTGATGGCTGCCAAAAAGATGAAAAGCCTGCTTGGAAGACATCGCGTCCAGAAGGTGCTGCTTTATAGGCCATGGGAGAGAGAGCATTTGCACAGCAAGCCTTACACTGACCTCTGAGCGGCTTCTTTGCACTGAAAGGGAGCACTCTTGCCCCAGCAGATACTTGAAGTCTTGCAGGGAAGAAAGGGATCGCCTAGGGCTTGGGGATTCAAAGATCAAAGAGGCTTTTCACCATGATCCCAACTTTAATAACATGGAAAAGCTTCAGGGCTGCCTGTAGGACTGCTTGGCAAACAGCTGTGCTTTTCCCTCATTCTTTTGCCTGAAGTCCTCCCAGGAGACCTGTAGGTCTTGCTTTAGAGGGGAAACCCGCTCTCCAAAAATACAGGGATACAGTGAATCCATGCTCTTCGTCCACTACAAAAAGGCACAACACTGCGGACAACCAGGCACCAGACCCAAAAAGCACACTTTTTATGGTCCTTACCCCTGGAGGGTTTGCTGGGTTCAGGCTTTTCCTGCACAGACATCCACCTGTCAGCAGCTCCAGATCTGGGTGATAGCAGAAACCCGCAAAGACTCTCACTGGATTCCTTGGGTTTTCCTGTGGGAAGCATGTGGCTTTTTTCTCTTGGTGTGGATGCCACGGTAGGTAGGCATGGGTGATCACCAGGAAAGTTTCTTCCTCATTTTGACACAGGACTGCTCCACAGCACCTTATATCCACCTTATATCCGTCTACTTACATGTACTAGTATCCAGACTTCCTATGTGGGAAATGGAAAGAAACAGGCACTTTTCAGGTGCCTCAAACTAGTGAAAATATCCAAAATAGGCACTTTTAGGATCATCTTCCAAAAATAGGGACCAAATTTACTGAAGATAGATGATATTTTCTGTCAAATTATTTTTTGGTATCTAAGCTGATAAATTAAATTTATTATCTAAATTACCTGAACTGGTCGTATCTTACATGTGGTTTTACTTGTAACAGAACACGTATCTCTACTCCCCAATACATCTCTTCAGGTGCCTTATAAAACAAAGTGCTAAGCATCTCCTAGAAACCTTGAACACTCAAAGTTCTCCTATAGTCAGCCCCACTGGGAATCATTGCCCATACCTCTCAAGTCCATACTACAGTGCAGACATCACCAGGTAGGCAAGACAAATCCCAGACTCTGCGCTTCAAAGACTGATGTTTCTTGTCCTTCATGTAAGACAGCAGCTCCCCGCAGCTGGAGAGCATCCATGCCTCTATGCCCTCCTTTTTAAATTTTATTTCTTTTTTTTTATTTTTAAAAGAAGCTTTCCCAGGACATCACCTTGGAGCCTGGGACAAGTCTGAGCTGTCCGAATAATCTGAGGCCTCACCAGTGTCCCTTGGCTTCACAAGACACTGACAAGGAGGACTGGTACCCTGAGCACATATGGAAGCATAGCCTTCCCCAGACAGAAAACACATCAGTTGTAGCCCCAGACTGAAGGGATATATGTGTTGGTCAGTAAGGGCTGGAGCACTGCACATTAAGATCAGCAGTGACTACAAGCTACTGACTCTTTTGGGGCTACAGGGCTGGAAAATTTAATCACACTTTTAAAAGAACATTAACACTTGCAAACTCTCAGGACAAAGCAAGACTTCTCTGCACAGCTGACCTAGATTGATGGCTTTCCAGCACAACCAGGCGCATCAAATGTTCTGGGCTGCAGCAGAGGCAATTATCAGCACCTGAAGGTAGGTCACCCACACTGACTTCACACCCATGCAGCCCCACACGTCTTCAGGGTAGCCTGCACCTGTACACAGGTATTGCCCATATAATACCATACACTCCTGACCCCAAGGGAGCACCAAGGGCTCCTCACACCACTTTGCTAGCTGCCCTTCAGTAGTAGAAAGGGAAGTCTTTAATGTTGAACACAGGCAAAGCTCTTCAGAAGCCGATTTTAATGAAGCAGAAGTTATTATAGGTCTGATCACATGCAGAAAACCCCAAGTAAATAATTCTAGCAGTGTCTGCTTATAAGGAGACTCCAGCTGTGGGATTTCAGGGTCACATAGCATACACTTCATTGGAATAGTCAGTGTCCTTGAGGTCAGGAGCTTCTCCTTTCTGTTGTAATCCCACCATCTCTTGCTGCATTTCCTAGACTACATCTAATAGGCTGCTTTAATAGATCCCAGGCTGGCTCTTTCCTATCACACCTTTGGTTTCTACGTTGCAATAGAATGAATTATTGTTCAATGGAAAAGCAAACGTCAATACACATGTGAAAGACCCCCCAAAATCCCTGACACGTCAGAGGAGCTACAGAAAACAGCTGAACAGATGTTCAGTCTCACCCCCTCGATTTGCCAACACTCTGGTAACAAACAATCACGTTAAATGACATTATGGTTTATGACTCGGAACTTGGAAGTTGATGAGAAATTTCTGCAGTTGATTCATACTTCCTGAGACTCATAACTAGCATTTCAATCATGCTATTTTACTACATTACGTGAATAATTTTCCTTGTTGTTACATAAGTGTCTAGATCCAAAATTATCAGAACTGATCTGAATCATATGATTTTAGGTTTTTTTATTTTTAAAAGAAACATAGTTTCAGGTTACTGTCTAATACTTCTCTCCTGGTGCTTTATAAAGCAGGCAGTGAAATACCTTCTAAAACACCACATGTTCACATTTCTCCCTGAAATCAGCTCCTCTGGGTACCACCCAGGCCCTTTGCAAGTACCTTGCTCTGCATCCTTTAAATAAAATGTGCTACAGGGATTTCTAACAGGCATCTACAGCCAACACCATACTTCTTAAACTCACAGCTCCAAGCATAGGTCCTGGAACTCCCCAAGGCAAGGAACAGTGTGGCAACAGTTCTGTGTATTCAGAGGACAGAGAGGTTTGGGGAAACTGGGAGGGGAGAAAAAGAGAAGCAGCTGCTCTTTGGACTCAAAACCTTTATGGTATTCCCACACCCTGGAGTCCAAGCCAAATGAGGATCACGCTGGCTTCATTGAAGGATGATTTGAGGATGCCTCAATCCAAAGCATCACAGCTCCGAGACAGCAGCACCAACTAAACATCTCTGAGCTAATTTTAAATGGGAGGCTGAGACCTTGAGAGGGGTAACTGCAGTACGTGGAGTCCACAGGGCTCTGTGCACTGCTGCAGGGGCTGAGCACCCCAGGCACCTCTGTTGTGCCTGCATGAGTTGCAGTCGCCACAATCTCAACATAGACAAATCCTTCAACAACCATTTGCAGCAGAAGTGGCACATTTCCACCATACTACAGGATTTTCATCAAGAGCAAAAGCCACCCAGCTCTTGTACTGAACACATACACTGTGGCACAAAGCTATTGAACACATCTACCCGTTATGGGAGCTCAGAGAAACTTCCCACTGCAGTGACTTATCACTGCTGTAGATGAGGAAATGCACAACTTGTATTTTGCTTTAAACAAGACAAGCTGTTCACAGGTGTCATCGTTCTGGCACATAGCTCTGGCAGCACTAGTGAAAAGACAGTTTTCAGACGACCGGCTAAGCTACTTGAGCTTCACAGGAATTCCCTAGAAAAGGAACTGCAATTCGCCAACTGAAATATTTTCATTCTCCACATTAGGTTGAATCTAATTACACCATTTCTTTACAATTGCAGTCTAGTATTGAGGGCTCCTTCAAGTAAAAAGCTTAATGGCTTTCCCACTGACATGGTAACTTGGAGCCCTTCACATCAGTAACACGCTGACAGTACGATTTGTTCGAAGAACAGGTTGATGTCTACCAGAGCTTATTTCAAGATTCCAACAAGATACATATTGTTTTTTATCACATTCCTGGGTTCAATCACCAGAATATCCTACACGGAATCACATATTCATCACCATGTTAGCTTAGCTCCTCAGAGAAAAGAGGAGACGGGACAGCACGGGGCGACTGTACTTCGCTCCAGCCCGAAAGACATCTGTGCGTCGCCGGACCTCTGACGGAGCGAACGCAACTTGCGCTCCGCAGTGAACGCGACTCCGCTGCCCAGAAACCAGAGTAGGGTGGATTTGATCCTGAATGACGGACTGATGGCTATCAGCATAACAAGTGCAAAAATGCTATTAATGAAGATGATAATAACATGCCCCCTTCTTTTTTGTACCCCTCGGGTTTTGCGGGGTTTTGTCTCATTGGCAAGAGGTATGGTAGGTTTGCCCTTCACCGAAGCGAGCTGCCCTCCTGGCCGACATACGTGCAGCTCAAGGTAGGTCTCGCCCGGCAAACCCCGCGGACCGCCGACCCAGCCGCGCTCCGCAGGGAGCAGCCGTCCGCCTCCCCTCCCCGGGTACGGGTGTCTGCGGACCGTGCGCGTGGGCTCCGCGCACCGCGGCACTCACCCAGGTTGACGAAGCTCATGACCATGTCGGCATCGCTGAGGAAGGCGCTGTCCTGCGAGCTGGGCAGCGGCGGCTGCGGGGCAGGGGGCGACGAGTGGCCCCGCTCCGCGCCCGCGGTGCCCTCCGCGCCCTCGGCCAGGGCGTGGTAGAGGTCCAGCATGAAGCGCGGCGCCGCCGTCAGGCGCCCCGGCGCCGGGGCCGGCGGGTCCCGCGGCAGCGGCCGGGGCCGGTGGGGCAAGCCCAGCACCGAGAGGATCTCCCGCTGCATCTCCCGCTTCTCGTGCGACTTCAGCCGTCGGTACAGGAAGCCCGAGGCGGCCGCGGGCGGCGGCTCCCCGCCCTCCGCGGGCAGCGCGGGCTCGGCGGGGCGGCAGGCGCCGCTCAGCAGCGCCCAGCAGCAGCACAGCCAGGCCAGCCGCCGCGGCATGGCGCTCGGCCGGGCGGAGGCAGGCGAGGTCCCCACTTCCCCCTCTCCCCGGGGAGGCTCCCCGCCGCCCTCCAGCCCTGCCCCCCCCCGCGGCGGCTATCGGCTGGGCCGGCGGGGGCAGCCAGAGCCAGAGGGGCTCACCGCTCAGCCCCACCGCCGCGCATGGCCGCCCCCGGGGCACAACGGGGCAGCCTCCCCCCTCCCTTCAGCCGCTCAGGTGCGGCGGGGCCGCCCCCCGCCCTGGCCGGGCGGTCAGTCCGCCATGCCCCTGCCCGGGGGCTCCGCGGGGTCTGCGTGTGCGGGGGAGAAGGAGGAAGAAGAGGAAGAGCAGCGAACTTTCCCCCTGCCACGGAGTGAGCGAGCGAGCGGCTCCTGCGGCGGCAGCCCCGGTTCCCGCGGGCTGGCCGGAGCGGGGCTGCTGCCGGCAAAGGCAAATCACCAGCGCGCCCGCCTCTCGGCGGGGCGGGCGGCCGCTCCTCCGGGGCGGGGAGCGGGCGAGGGCGCAGGTAGCGCGGCCCCGCGGGGCGGGCGGGACAGTGGCGGGGGATGGAGGGGGGCAGAGCAGGTTCCGGAGCTCCAGTCCCGTCGGTTATCATTGGTTTGCTGAGCTGGAGCAGCGCTCCGCTAAATAGCGGTGCCGGCCGCCTCGGCCTCGGCGGTTCCCCTGGCTTGTTCCTTCGTAAAAGAGGATTTCGGTCACCGCTCCCAGCACTTAGAGCTCGTAGGTTATTTCTCCTGAAAATAAGCGGAGTGGTACCTGTTCTGAATCTGAAAAAAACCTTATCGTTCATCTGAACGGGTTACAGCATCCCGCCCCTTTTTCTGGAATACCGAGCAAAAGTAGGCACTGAGCACTGATAAATGGTGCAGGTACCTCTCTCCCTCCACACCCAGTCCCCACTGATGAAGTACCAGCCTGTGTCTGTGCACTGTGAAACAGGCTGAACCGCTGTAAAAGAACATACCAACTCCTAAAGTCAAATGCTAAGGTTGCAGCTGTGATTACAGCCTTTTCATAAAACATAACCCCACCACCATCACCGTCGAGCATTCTAAGAACGGCAAAGAAGCTGAGCAGGGAGCAGCTCATCCATATGCTGATCTCTGACTTAATGGATTTTGCTCGGGTTGGATGAGTAAATCCAGGCTAGCCCCGCTGAAATCAGCGCAATTGCTCTAGGTTTGAACTGGGATAATTTCATAGGAGTTGGCCTTGAGAGTAATATCTGGACTATTTGAAGTCACTGGCAAAATTTCCATTAACTTTATTAGAATCAGAATCTGGCAATAAGCTCATATTCAGTTTCCCAGAGACACAGCTGAGAATATTCAAGACTGAGTATGTTATTTTCAGAAGTGGAGGTTACTCCAAGCGTTCACTTTGTGAAAGCAAGGTCGCAGATGGCTCTTTTAACTGCACTAGTTAAGGAACACTGTAATACTAGGTATTTGAAAGCTTGTTTTGGAGGGGAAAAAAATGCATCTTTAAGGAGATTTGAGCATAGCTATCACGGGGATGGGAGGGAAGAGTATGGAAGTCACTTTTGCAACTATCCCCCTATTTTTTCCACTTAGTTACTGATAGAATTTGAAAGTGAGGGTGTGTCCAACAGCATGGACTAAACGTGCTCCTTTTGCTATACTGGACTTCATTACCATCATGAAAGAGGTCTCTGTCGTCCCTTAAGGACTGGAGAAGCCAGTGTTCAGAGAAACTTCTGTGCTGCTGATTCATTTATTCGGTTCTATCAGCTTAGAGCAGCAGTGATGATTTGATTAAAGAGGGAGAGGAGGGCTCAATCCCAGAGAGGAGGTGAGCAACATCCCTCTCCTTCTGCAAGGCAGTGTGGGATTCCACTGGGGAAAACCCAGGCTCCCAGGCAGAGAGCCCAGTGCACAAGCTGTCCTGCATCCCTCTCAGCCCACCAAGAAGTTATGTTATAGCAGCCTTATGGAAGGACGTTTGGAGGCTGGGAGGAAGTGCAAGAGCCCTGAGGTCAGTGAGGGAGGTTTCCCAGGCAGGCACTTACCCCGCAGGTGGTGAGGAAAGGGAGCAGCCACTTCTGTGCCATTCACTTCCCTGTCTGAGCCCATTTGGATGTAGTTCATGTTGCTGTCTCCAGCAGAGCTTTGTAGCCTCCGTTTCCTGTTTTGACAGCACCAGAGGGAAATGTCTCATTATACCATTATCTCCAAAGTGTGAACCTTTCCATCCAAAGTGTCCCCCACTTCCCTTCAAGTCCAGCAAAGATGGTGCATATTTAGCAGCAGACAGCATTTTAGCGAATTCCAGGACAGCTGTTGGGCATTTCTGCTTCTCTGATGCTCAAATGTGTATCACCTCTATGTTTTTATTCTAAAAGAAAAATATTTTAAATACTGTCATTTGCATAGGGATCACTTCAGTAAATTGCAGCTGTAATAACAGTTGGCAGCATTTGGGCATCTGAGTTTGATGCAGCCTGGGGACAGGGACACAGCAAACTTTCCAGTACTTCCCTGTTAAGTTACCATATTCTTAAGGTAAGTTCCCATGTGTAGCTAGGAAACTAATGCCCTCCTTAGGAAGTCATTGCACCTTCTGTTAAGTCTAATTAATAAGTCTGTCACTTTTTTCAGAAGTGCTTCCCAAAGATGTACACTACTTATCCCCAGAAATGCATCTCACTTCTAGTTGTGAATGCTTTACTGTGGGTTCCAGCTAATGTTATGGGACCTAGGAAAGTCACTGCATCACTCAGCAACTTGTTGCAGGGTAGAAAGAATTAAGTTCTTTTACAGAGGTCACCTACAGCAACAGGTTTCAGATATTCCTCCCATCTGAAAGAGCAAGTTTCTGCAAAGAATTTTAAGACTTCGGATGAGAGCTGCATACCTAATTCTCCAAAGGAGTGCAAAGGCTCTGCATTCATCAACTGCTGCAGGCTGACACATGTTTTAAGAGTTAATTGAAAATATATTGTAGTGCTACCAGCAGAATTTTTCGCTTGCCAAGGAGCCTTCGTAGTATAATCCTCCATCCATTGCTCTGCGGTAACATGTACTTTCACTCTAACTTTCCTTTCACTGTCTTCACTTTCATCTTCAAAAATGCTGCGGAATCAGGCTTCTGGGTATCGTTCAGGTCACCGGCTTTTCCTGCTCATGACGGACATCTGGTGGAAAAGCGGAGAAACTCGGGTCTGTCCACTCAGCAAGTTAGCAGTAAAACCTTTTTTCCTCAAAAAAAAACCTCACTCCAACCCCCCTCCCCCCCCCCGAAAAAAACCATAACCCTAATAATTAAAGAGGTCTTCTACATACCCCTGAAAAGTCCTTATTTAATTTTCATTCTGTAAACAAAATTTCAGTATGTATTCAAAAACCTGCACCAGCTCAGTGCTTCATGAGGAACGTGTGGTACAAGTGGCCATGAACAGAGCCCATACCCCACAGGACTCCTGTTCCAAGACGTGGCATGGTGCCAGCAAGGATTAACTACAGCACTTGATTTCATCTGGCAGTGCCAGTGTTTAGGTTGTATGCAATTAAAAGCTGGGCTACCTGTTTCTACTTGAATAGGATTCATTGGGTATTCTGTTGTCTTAATTCAGCAAATCATTCCTCGCTCTGGTTTAAGCAAATTAGGTTTCCTGGTTATTCTATGGATAAATCATGAGAAGCAGTTCCAGGCAGATAAAGCATTGAAGTGGTAATTTAAGTTTAGTTGGAAGCTTTCAGAATAAAATTAAGAACAAGAGAGAGGTTCCATTACTATGCCTTAAAATACACCACCTCATCTGTAATCAGGAAGAGGTATATGCAAAACCTTTTTCAATGCTTCTGGTGTACAGCTTCCCAGGTGCCAGGATTTCATGACTCTAGCAGAACAAGACACCTTGAATTTCTTTTTTTTCAGGACTAAAATTATGTTTTTGAATATAGTATTGAACTTACTATTCCAATGATCCCTTCTCCACCTCCTGAAAACAGAAAAGACATTTGACTTTTATAACTTGGCATTCCCACCTTCCCTTCAGCTGAACCATCAGCCGCCAAAGCGCCTTCATCAGGCCCTGCTCCTGCGCTTACGGGGTCGGCAAGGACACTGAAGTAAGGGTAGCTTCTGTCTTCACAAAATCCTTTTGCTAAGCAAGTGTAGGTATTTTTTTTAAGCAACATGGAAGAGCTGTAAGTAATAAAAATGACTTTTTGCTTTCTAAAAAAAACCAAACCCTATGCTGTACAATAATGACATAGCTGGAATGGTCTATTTGCAGTGCTGCCCTTGGAGAGGTTGAAAATGCAAACATGCCTCCTAATTTTAGCATACTGGTTTCCAAGGTCTACTTGTGAAATGAGAAAGAGTGGTTGAGTATAATCTTAGTTCAAAGATCGAAGCAGGCTAAAAACAGTATTTGCTATGAAAGCTCAAATTTTTCCCTTCGCTTGCTGAACTTGCTTTCTCCACTGCAAGTAGGGACAGTTGAAAAATAGTAACATCATCTTATTTGCACATAGCAAACCACTACTTTCTTTACTCAGAAATCTCATCTAAAAATACGCAATGATGATTTCCCAGATCAGAACACCTTAAAAAATGGTTATAAATATTAATTCAACAACACAACTGGACAGCTATCCTAGCAAAAGCAAACAGTTAAAAGTGAAGTAAGTCCCAACATGTATTTCACAAACAATTTCCACTCTGTTCTGCCCCTGGCCACCATCTCCACCCTATCAGGGATATACTTACGTGCAAACAATTATAGCTTAGTTTATTTGAAGTCAACAGTGTCATGTATTGAGGGAAACTGACCTGAAATGACAGCAATTAAGTAAATATTAATATATTCTATCATTAATATATTTTTTCTGAATCTTGTTGTTTTATTTTTGCTAGTAATGCTTTTTCTGTTTAAAACTGAGGAAAGCAAATCATCAACTGTAAAAGGGAAACAGCAAAATCTGCTTTGTACAGGCTGCAAGTTAGACTAGAAAAGAGTTATTGAGACTATTGAGATGTAAGTGAAAGGTCAGTAAATGTAGAAATACGTTAACCAGCATGAGGTAAGAGTCTACCTCTAACCTCTAGAAAGTGAAGATGAGATTTTAGTAAGAATAGGTCCCCACTATTACTGCTGTCATAGGTAACAACAGCAGCAATGATGCGTATCATAATCCATATAAACTTGGCTGCAGGCATACCTGTATTGTAATCAGACCTTCTACCGCTGTGCTGGTATGCTTATACCTGCTGTGTAATGATTACCCCAGTACAAAAAGCATAGCACCTTGTCCAGCCTGCATAGCGGGGTCTCAGAGAAAGAACTTAATTTCTTCTGAAGGATGAAAACTAGAGCAGTACCTGGCTGTGAGCACATGAATGCTGCCAAAAAGACATGATGAGAAGAGGCGAGGTCCTCAGTCTAT